GACATAGAGAATGCAGTTCTAGGAGAGCTTAGGTAATGTCAAGTGCACATAGTATGATCTTAGATGTTTATCTCAGATAATAGGGTTATTACAAGAAAACCGTGTAATGCGCCGTGAGAAGAGTATGATGTGCCATGCCCAATGAATTAGTTAAATATGTGCATGTTAGTAGAAAAGAGTAGAGAATGATGTGATACATGTGAATGACACGGGGTTTGGTTCAGCTGTCGGTAATTTAAGTTTCTGTATAAATTTGGCGCTATCTGTACCTATTTCTCGACATAGGTAGACAAATTTGGTGTTGTTCAAAGAAAGGTAGATAATTTTTAGCATGAAGTGTAAACCCAGATACTAGAATGCTTACTGTAGTGTGAATATGTGAGTTAATTAGCTTAAATTAGATAAAAAAATTAGTACTCCCTCCGTAAAGAAATATAAGAGCGTTTAGATCACTGAAGTAGTGATCTAAATGCTCTTATATTTCTTTACAGAGGGAGTACTTTCCAATCTGCAAAAAAGTAGTGATCTTAATGTTCTTAAATTTACTGGTTTCTTCTAGCATAAGTATTGCCAATTTGTGTATACCTTGATTCAGAGATCAATCACATCTTGATTCAGAAAAACCATACTACACAATTATGCTATTTCCTGACATGAGAAGAACACCCCAGCGCATAACTAGTCTGTAGACACGTGCCATCGAAATTCTGACATTTTCTTGGGTTAAAGAAACATTTTCTTTTATTCAGTCGTGGCATGACACCAAAAGAACCTAGTATGTAACTAATGCTATATATATTCGATTCTTCTGAAACTTATGCTTTTTTTGTTCGAAGACCGAACTTATCCATTTGATATGGAAAATTGAACATCATAAGTCAGATTGCCATGGGTTCATAAGTCAGACCTACTTATGTTTTTATGGATCTTGGAAATATGATTGATGGTGCATTTGGGTTCAGGTAAAGGAGGGAACAGTTCTGAGCACTCTGCAGGTGATCTAGAGGTTGACCCCAGTTCTATTTCGTATTTGGTCGCTGGTCTGATGGATTGCTACTGCTGCTAGTTGGTGGTTATGGCAGGGACATAGACGGCCACCGAGCGAGCAAGGGAGGGCCCATGGCGCTCGCCTGCATGAGCTGCACGTCCGTTGCCAGCGGCCCCTCCGTGCGCCGGCACGCGGCGAGTCCGCCCTGGTCGTCTGTCGCATTTTCCTTTGCCAGATGCATTGGGAGATCGGCGGCCGCCGCCTCAGGGTGGCGCATCGACGCCGTCGCCGGGAACGGAGGTGGGTGCTCTCTTCTCGACTTACTCTGTTCTGCCTGGGTGTTGATTCTCTCTGCGCTCTTGGCTTCTCCTCCTAGGTGAGGCGGCGGGTTGGGAGTTGTGCCCGTACATGTCATCTTGGATGATGAAGTTGCCTGAACTGAACGTAGTCACCCCTAGAGCCCAGATTCCTCGACGGAATTGTCCTATTGACTTTTGTGCCTCTAAGCTTCCTCCTAGAGATGTGCCGCCTTCTGTTCCTGCATTACCACCACCATTCTTTCTACAATAGTATCTGAATCCTGCCACTCTGCTGCACCATTACCAACCTTACTTACTGTCTAAAACAAATTCAGTCGCCATTCACAAGTCGGAACAAGATAAATGAAGTGGGTTTACGAATTCGAGACCATTCTCACTAGCTTTGGTAACTTAGAGATATTTAGCATTCTTAATGAACCCCTAGCATCTTCTTTGAGTTAGTAATGTTATTACATACGTTTGTACTGTTGATGGTTACTACTGTTAGTTATGCACTTGAGTGATGGGTCTGTAGGATAATGCTGATCAAAATATTGATATGTTAGGACTAGTTTCCTAGTGCAAATGCACCAAGAAAAATCATGTGCCAATTGACATTTATGCTAGCTAGCTATATTCAGTTGGTAGGTGCTCATACTTAAACTGCACATTTAAAATTTAAGCTTCGGTAGTGTTATCTATTTAGTCTGATTTATACAGTGCATTCCTAAGCTGAAATATTTTTTGTAACTGAAATATATAGTCTGAGTTTCATTCAGTTATTTGCAATGTTTTAAATAATGGGTTATGGCATGTAGCGGCGACCCTTAAAAACAGCTATAGCTGGGCTATAGTGGGCTATAGCGGAGCTATACCGGCAAATTGTACATGAAATCATTTAGCGGCAACACCCTCAAACAGCTATAGCGGAGCTATAGCGAGGCTATAGCCGGCTATTTAAAACTATTGTTATTTGTCACTTTTTAATTGAATATTTTTTGTAACTGAAATATATGTGTACTTACCGTGCATATTCGCATTGTATCAGAATCTTGGTCCTTTTCTCCTGTATCGTCTGAGATTATGCTTCCTCTCCATTTATTCATTATATCTATATGCCTTGCTGATGCTCATTTCTACCGCTGCAGGATAATGAGATGTTGAAGCGGCAAAGTGAATCCATGAGATTGTAGTGTAATTGCACCGTTCCATTGAATATTACTCAGGAATAAGGACATTTCAACGGCAGACTAGCTCTATTTTTCCTTTTCATTTTTCTTACTATTGGAGTGAGGAAATGTAGAATGAGAAACTGTGTGGTAGCACATATGGCAACTGTGTGATAGTAGAATCAGGAATAAGGAATATGGCAAGTGTGTCATAGTGACATTTTTCCATCACTATTGTTTCTTAAAATTGTATGCATAAAATGGAATTGGTTGATTTTATTTGTTTTAATCCTACATAGTTAGTAGTAGCGTGGGAACAAATTAAGCACTACTAGTATCTAGCGTTGGTATTATAAGCACGCTACTACTACTTTGTTAGTAGTAGCACGGTTCTGTAATAGCAAAGTTAGTAGTGACGTGGGTCTACCCGCGCTACTACTAATTATTAGTTGTAATGCGGGTACCCATGCTGCTAGTAACTATTTTACCAACGCTACTAGTAGCCTTTTTTCTAGTAGTGTATGGGCACTACCAATGTTCTCTCCGTCGGCCCCAATAAACGGAGCTGAGATAGATCAATGTTTTTTCCACGCACCCAACGATCCGGGCTAGACTTCCTCTCCCACAGCTGAATGGTGCGCCTGAAGACATGGCAAGGCCGAGGCCGCCATCCTCTGTCCGCAAGATATGGAAGAAGGACTGCGCGGTACGTTGAGCATCCGTCGGCCGCTCAATCACACGCAGGCTCTGCCTTTCAATGTCAAACTCAAGGAGGGCACCATGATCGATCCTCCATCAAAGTGCATTATTCCCAATCAGAATGCTATGGCTTAACGGATCAATCTCGTGAGGAGTGGCTGTGTTGACCGCATCTCCCCACACACCGTACTCCGATTCGTAGAGGCAAGCCAGGATCGCATTGTGGCTGTAGCGTAGCACCAACTTAAACGGGCTATCGCCGCCGCCATCGCCATCGCCGGCGGTGGCAGGGCACAACATCGCGGCGTGCCGAACGATGGTCTCCTACCTGTTGATGTGGAACCCTGGCTGAAAAGGCACCCGGCGCTGGTGGCCGGGGATGGGGTCCCACACTAGGGCTTCGGGCCGCTCCGGGCCGAGGAGGAGGGCGACGCCGTGGCGGCAGCCGCAGAAGTGGCCGCGCCCCTCGCCGCTCGACGTGAACCGGTTGAGCCACCCGGCGGGGATGCGATCCAGTGGGTCGAACGTGGGCGTGAAGAAGATCGGGCGGCACAGGCCGGCGAAGAAGCCGAGGAGCGGGGCCCGCCGGTGGTGCGCGCGGAAGCGGCGGAAGAAGGCGGGGTCCTTGAGCAGGCGGCGCCAGCGCTTGCAGACGAGGGCGGCGCGCGGGAGCGAGGTCGGCAGCGGAGGGAGGCGGACGAGGATCTCGCGGAGGAGGTTGTCGTCCTCCAGCGGGGGCGTGGAGGCGAGGAAGGAGCGGCCGTCGTCCGGCGGGGAGGAGCGACGGTGGACGCGGAGGTCTAGGTCACCCAGCGGCGAGGCCGAGGGGGAGCGGGACCGGCGGCTCATTTCTCCTTCGTGTCGTTGGACTGACTGTTGAGTCGTAGAGACGGTCAAATATCATCGTGGCCAAAACAGCGAGACCATTCACGTTGCGCTATATCTGCCGTCAATTTCGGGCGGAGGGCAACAGTGACTATAGCGGCCAAAGAAAGGAAATAAATCATGGCCAAAACGCTTGCTCCATATTTGGAATGCATGGTAATTCTAGTTTAATTTTTAGATAATATTTATAAAAAATAAAAAATTCAATCTATTGGTCAACTGTTCAAAATTGAACAGACGCTTGGTCTGGCTATTTAACCATGTTCTCGGCCGGCACCATCTACATCACAAACATGCCCAGTCGTCCACTTACAATCCTCCTCCGTGCATCACCTCTGTCATGACCGCAAGCTCGAGAGTGTTGTGGAAGCCTCTCGGCGAAGCAAAAGCACGAGGTAATCGGCCTTGCGGCAAACTGCTAGGACCGCCATGCAGGTAGATAGAAATAGGCATCCTGATGAGCTCGCCGAGGGTGAGTGACAATGACATGGCGGTGGAAGAAGCCTACGACAACGAGTCGACGCCCTTGCTCGCATTGTTTCATACCGACTGCACTATAAGACAGACACAGGAGAAAGAGCACTACAACCTCGCTCTCCTCGCATCACCGACTGACAGATGGCTAGATCTACGACGAGCTCACGAGCCAACCTCGCTTTGGCTAGATCTACGACAAGCTCACAAGCGAGGAGGCAATGCTGCTGGCTAGTTGTGTGGACCAGTTAAGGAAATAAGCACATATAATTGCTACTACCTTTGTCCTGGTTTATTGGCTCTCATTATATTTTATGCCAAATTTAGAACGTAAATTTAACTAACAAAATTTCATGCATGTCACAAAAAGTTATGTCATTACAAACTATGTTCAAATACAAATCGAATGATATAATTTTTGTTGACATGCATTAACATATTGTTAGACGCATTTCATTTTCGACCAAAAACATTTTAAAAGGCCCACTAATTTGGCACGGCCTGGCCCTTGCCGCAGAGCCGCGCCATCCTCTGCAGCAGCGTCGCGATCTGCCGGCCGTCGCCGTTGTTCCGCACCACCACCTCCCGCAGCTCCCTCGCGCGGCGCCTCGCCGCCTCCCCTTCCTCCCCCTTCACAGCCGCGCGCACCGCCCACGCCACTTCCTCCGCCATGAACTCCCCGAACCGCTCCTGCTTCACGCGCGCGGCCGCCGCGCCCAGCTCCACCGCGAGGTTGGCGTTCAGCGGCTGGTCGATGTGCAGCGGCAGCGCCACCATCGGCACCCCCACCGCCATCGACTCCAGCACCGAGCTCCACCCGCAGTGGGTCAGGAACGCGCCGCAGGAAGGGTGCGACAGGATGCGCCGCTGCGGCGCCCACCCTTCCACCACCAGCCCGCGCGCGGGCGCGAACCCCGGCGGCATGGACCTCGCCGCGCCGCGGGCGTCGTCCTCTGCGTTCGGGAACCGCACCGCCCACAGGAAGGGCACCCCGCTGAGCTCCAGCCCGCGCGCCAACTGCGCCATCTGGCGCTCCGACATGAAGTACTCGCTGCCGAAGGAGACGAACACCACGGAGCCAGGCTCCTCGCCGTCGAGCCACCGCGTGATGCGCCCGCCGTCGCGCTGCTCTTCCGACCCACCGGAGTCGACGAGCAACGGGCCGGTGGGGATGATCTCCTTGCCCAAGAGCTGGGACAGGTAGTCCATGTACTTGCGCTCGATGTCGGCGCAGGACTTGACGGCCACGAACCCGGACGAGCGCTCCAGGCTGAGCGGCAGGCGGTCGCGCTCGGGAACCAGGGCGGTGCTGTCCTCGCGGACGGCGACCAGCGCCGTGTACTTGACGTCCTCGTCGGCGCCGCCGAGGCTGATGCTCTCGAACGGGAAGGCGCTGGGGGCCCGGTCCGTCTTGAGGCAGTGGATGAAGAACGACGTGGCGGCGGCGCCGCAGGTGGCGAAGTGGACCGCCGGGACGCCGCGCGCCTCGGCCTCGAGCGGCGCCCACGGCTGGATGAAGTCGTAGACGAGGATGTCCGGGCAGAGCTCGTCGAGGAGCGCGCCGAAGCGCGGCGCGGCGAGGTCGCAGGCGCGCTTGAGGACGGGCATGAGGCGGGCGGGGAGGCCCTTGGTGGTGTGCAGCGCGGGCGGGAGGTCAGGGAGCGCCGGCAGGTGGAGCCCCACGAGCCTGAGCCTGTCCGTCTGGTGGTGCGCGAGGGGCGCGAGGTTGGCCGGCGTGGAGACGAGGTGGACGACGACGTCTAGGTGGTGGCCGTCGGAGGCGCTGGCGATGAGGCGCTTGGCCAGCTCGAGGTACGGGCTGATGTGGCCGTGCGCCAGCCACGGGAACATGACCACGCGCATGCGCTCGCTCTCCGCCTGCGCCATGGCGATCGATCGGACGTGGCTGTGGATGGGGCTACTGGGTACAGGAGTGCAGTGCAGCTTAACAGTGCCGGAGTTGAATTCTTCTTCTTGCTGTGTGATCTGCGTCCGGCGGGGCGCGTGGATTTATAGGCGGAGTGATCGTGTCTGGAAACGCGAGGGCGCTGACCGTCGACGTGCGTACGTGCAGAGAGCTCAGTGGGCGAGCGCCGCGCGCAAGCTCCCCGGAGGTCGGGGGTTGCGGCGTCAGCATGGGTGGCGCGCGGAGTCACTCTTCCGAGGCCACGCGTTGCGTGGGGGAGAGGCGCGTGTCGGGCTTCTTCCATCACGTTCGTGACTCTGGCCTCTAGATCTAGATGGGGCACGCGGCACGACGGCGGGAGGGTCGGTAGGTGGCCGGCCGGCTGGCAAATTCAAATTTGCTGTTTCTCGCGGGCTGCGTGAAACGACGGCTTCCGGGGCAGAAAAAGCCCAGAAGTTGCCAGAGTTACGGAAGAATTGGCTAGAAACGAGCCTGAAAAGAGCTGAAACTTCTTTTTCTACTAAGTTAGTATTATATTATTCTGATGTAAAGAATTAATTCTTTTCTAATCAATTTCTTGTGTGATATTTGAATACTCTTTCACTCCAATTGAAAATCCAAAAGGGTTTCTATTTACGGAAATGATAACGGGCGAACGTCACATGGCAGGAGATGGCACATAAATGTTTTTGCAACTTTACTTATTGGTACGAGATGGCAAATTCAGCCTTTTTGCCACAATTTTTTCTTTTTCTTTGCAGAAATTGACGTACCATACAACTAAATTTGCCATCTAAAATGTTCGCAATTGAGGCGTGTCTTCCAACCTTGTCTTCAGTCGCCAAGCTTGTCAGGGCGGATGTGGCGAAGATCGTCAACTCTGTTTATTTTGACTGTCATGTTGACCATTATGACGGATGAGGCGCACATGTCATTCTTCTTCTTCTTCTCCTCTTTTCCTGTTCGACATTTTAACAAACACTTCATATACATCATCCGACAAAAGGAGTGACTGGTGTTGTTATTCGAGCACGCATGTCAGGTGCGGCCATGGGCGCGGCCGCGAGCGTCACCACGGCTATTGACGGGGAGCTCCCCTACACCACCATCTGGAGCAGCATCCCATGGTCGGGCAGGGCGTCGCCGCTCCTCCGCCGTCGCATCCGCCCAGCCCATCGCCGGAGTGGTCCGTTCATGCCAAAGACCTCCTCCTCCACGCGAAAGAAAGCCAGCTCCGGCACCCTTAGGCCAGTGCTCGCCCGCGCCGCCCATGGGCACCTCCTCTCCTATGCTCCGCGATCTCCCCCTCCTCGTCCTCTTCTCGGCGGCCGGCGTCCACGACGCGTCCAGCTCCGGCGTCACGCCCTGTTCGCCACTGGACCGGCTGTGCGGCAGCCTGGGCAACTCCGCGCGCGGCGCGCCGGAGCTCGCGGTGGCCAACACCACGGCGCTCGCGAAGCTTGCAGACAAGGCCACCCGCGACGCGGTAGGGCGAGCTCCATGTCCTCGACGGCGTGCCCATGCGCTGTTTCACCACGCGGGTACGAACACCAGGTGTTCGTTGAAATGCTTAAGAGAGAAAGAGGATGAGGAAGAAGAAGGTAGATGCTGACATATGGGACCCATCTGTAATAACGGTCAATCTAACTGCCAAAATAAACAGAGCTGACTTTTCCGCCACGTCAGTTTTAACATGCGGGTTCCGTATGTCATAAACAGGTCATCAACTTAAGTTGGTAGTTTTTTGTCACAAAATTAGTACTAATCTATAGTTTTCGGTCACTTTTTAAAATGTGATAGTTCTATAGAACGATGACGTGAAATATGATAGTTTTTTGTCAAATACTCAATCTCTCAGGCTGACGTTTGGCCTGTCGTCGGCGCTCGGCATGCTTCTGCTTCTATAGAGATTCACCGCTGCACTGCACCCCCGTCGGCGATCATTGTTGGACTCATAGCAGCTGTCGATAGGCTCTTGGTCCAGCCATCAAAAGCACGCCTTCTAACTTACCCCCTTTGTAAATTTTTATAAGATAGTTTAGATCACAAGGGAGTATGTACACTTGAAGTGTCGCGTCAAAAGAAATCTTTTTGTTTTGGCTCGCTGCATTTGGCTTGAATGTTTACATAGCTTTGTTTAGTTTTTTTGTTCAGAATATAAGGTGCTCACTGACCAGACCACATGCTCTCGCGCTAGGCACATGATGTAACGAACCTTGCCTGTATGTTTTTTTAACATCCGTATAGACACAAACGCTCATATACACGTGTATACACTCATTTCTATAAACGCACACACACGCACACCTTACCCTTATGAGTATCTCCGAAAAACTGAGTCGGCATATTATCTTGAGATTTACGAATTCACTGTAGGTGTCTCGTTGTCGACGGAAACATCTCCTCCCATCAAATGCGCATCGCCGAAAATCCTAAAATAAATACGAGCATCAGGATTTGAACCTGATGGGCTGAGAATACCACAGTCCCTCTAACCATTTAACCATAGGTTGATTCGCTCCCTGCATGTTTGTTAGTTGTAAAGTTTTTCATCACGGAAGGAGAACCTGCAAAATCTCCGCAAAACAGGATGTACTAACAACAGGAATGAGACGCCTGAAACAAGCGTGGGCTCACCACGTCTACAATGACAGCTGCTTATAGAGGCGCTTAGAAGAAAAAAAACAAAGATTATAAAACAGGAATAACACCTAGGAGCCCAATGAGGAAGTCCAGGATTAAGGGGTCCTCGGGCGTCCGGCCTGTTATCCATGGGTCGGACTGATGAACTGTGAAGATATGAAAGCCGAAGATTGCATCGTGTCCGGATTGGACTCTACTTGACGTGGAAGGCAAGCTTGGCGACTGAAGATTCCTTCTCATGTAACCGACTCCATGTAAACCCAAGATCCCCTCAGTGTCTATATAAACTGAAGGGGATAATCCGGAAAGGACAACATACATACTCATTAGCATATTCATAGACTAGACTTTTAGGGTTTAGCCATTATGATCTCGTGGTAGATCAACTCTTGTAATACTCATATTCATCAAGATCAATCAAGCAGGAAGCAGGGTATTACCTCCATAGAGAGGGCCCGAACCTGGGTAAACATCGTGTTCCCCGTCTCCTGTTACCATCGATCCTAGACGCACAGCTCGGGACCCCCTACCCGAGATCCGCCGGTTTTGACATCGACATTGGTGCTTTCATTGAGAGTTCCACTGTGCCATCGACAAAAGGTTCGATGGCCCCTTCAATCGTCAATAATGACGCTGTCCAAGGAGGAATCTTCATCCCCAGACAGATCTTCGTACTCGGCGGCTTCGTACTGCAGGCCAACTCACTTGGCCATCTAGAGCAGATCGACAGCTACGCCCCTGGCCATCAGGTCGGATTCAGAAGTTTGAACTACGTCGCAGATATCCGTGGAGCCTTGATCTTCGAGGGATTCGAGCCCGCGGCGATCGCTCCCCCTCATCCCAATGAACGTGACTTAAATATGTCATCAGATCACACCCAGAAGATGGTTCTTGCAGCTGCAACGACCTTAGAGCCGAAGAAGATTGAGCCATCCGTAGCCGCAGAGCCCGCGGCGCTGGAGCAGCACATGGACTCGATGCCCTGCAATATTCGCTTTAACAGAATTTCGGACTCGTCTCCGGCTATAAGTTTCAGACGTGTACGCCCGCGGACACCGAGCTAGATCGGTTATCGATCTTCGAGTTCAGCGCCGCTGACGTTTTCCAGCACTCACCTTTGGGTGATGTGCTAAAATCTTTAAAGAATCTGTCCTTGGAGAAGGACTCACAGCCGAACTATGTCCGGTTCGAGCTAGAGACGGATGATGAGGAATTTTGCTTCCAACCCGCCACCCACTTCATAGCCACCGTCGATGATTTAACCGACGTGCTTGACTATGGCTCCGAAGACATCGACGGTATGGACGACGATGCCGACAAAGAGCAAGGCCAAGACCCGCCATTCACTGGACGTTGGACGGCTACCTCTTCGTACGACGTGTACATGGTTGATACACCTAAAGGATCTGGCGACGACAAAGAAGATCCAGATGCGAATAAAACCTCCGAGACACAGTCCAAGCGCCGGCGGACCAGGCGCCGCCCCAAGCCCTGCCACTCAAAGGATGGCAACACTGGCACCGGAGAAAATAGTACTCCGGGCGACGCCGAAAACAATGAAGACCCTGTCGGGGCTACATCCGAACAGGAACACGACAGCAGGGAAGACAACCCCGACGAACAGGCCATAGAAGATGACTCGGAGGATGATAGTTACCGTCCACCCTCCGAGGACAAGACAAGCCTTGGCAACGAAGAGTTCATCGTGCCTGAGGGTCCTCTCAAGCAGGAGCGCTTTAAGCTTCAGCTCATAGCCACTGCAAGGAGCTTGAAAAAGAAACAACAACCGCTTCAAGCTGAACAAGATCTGCTCGTTGACAGATGGACTGATGTCCTAACAGCCAAGGAATACGGCCTCAACCGCCCAGCCAAGAGCTACTCGAAACGCAGACTGCTACCTCAATTCGATGAGGAGGCGCCGGAGCACATATCTCCCTCACGTAATGCGGATCGACCACCACGTGGTCAGGACAGGATAGCGGAACGGCCGCCCCACGGTCGCGATAAAGCGGCAACTCAGGCCGAACAGCAGACCGCCCCACCACCCCGTCAAAATAGGGACGAAAGAGTCTAGAGTCATATGTACGACATCCGACAAACTCTGGACAGCAGAGCAGGACACACAAGATTGATCTATGGATCGCGAGGATGTGCCTCAAAGCACGACGACGGCTACCTATTCGGACGTGACAAACCTAGCCACGCTCGGGCCGAATGCCGCAGACGGACTCCATCAGAGCTTTGCCACGTTGTGGCCCGATATAGAGGCGCCGCACACTCGCTCTGCTTCATATATGAAGTACTGGATCATGAATTCCCCAAGGGGTTCAAACCCGTC